GAGAAAGGCGCAAGTGTTGTGTTCCACCCAGAATCAGCAGAATTAATCAGTGAGAATGGTACAAAGTTTAACATCGAGAAGTCCGGTAAATTGTATTACCTACATGTTGGACTTTATAGTGAAATAGAAAACACTGATTCAGTTAATTATACTAGTGATTTAAAGGGTTGGCATAATATATTAGGTCACTGCAATTATGAGGATGTAGTGAAGCTTGAGGAAGTAGTTGATGGTATGAAAGTTGGTGATAATACCATCAGGCCAGATTGTGATACGTGCACTTTGGGGAAGATGATTCAGAGTAGAAATAGAAAACCCGATATACGGTCTAATACCCCCTTAGAATTAGTACACACAGATCTTGCTGGCCCAATTGATCCCATATCAAAGGAGGGATTTAGATACAGCATAGCATTTACTGATGATTATTCTGGTGTTGTCTTTGTGTATTTTCTTAAGAATAAAAGTGATACGGTTGAGGCCACAAAGAAGTTCCTTGCCGATTCAGCACCATTTGGTACTGTTAAACGGTTAAGATCAGACAACGGTGGTGAGTTCATTTCTGGAAAGTTTAAGGCATTGTTAAGAGAAAATAAAATCAAACATGAGACCTCATCACCTGATTCTCCTCATCAAAATGGCACAGCCGAACGCCATTGGAGAACCCTATTCGAAATGGGAAGGTGTATGCTCATTGAATCAAATCTTGGTAAATCAATGTGGCCATATGCAGTAATGCAAGCTGCATACGTCCGCAATAGATGTTATAACAACCGCTTAAAGCAAACACAATATTTTGCTCTTACCGGTAAAAGGCCAAACTTATCTAAAATGAGAGTTTTTGGCTCCGAATGCTATGCGTATGAGCATGACAAACGAAAACTAGACCCACGATGTACTAAAGGTGTATTTGTAGGTTTTGATAGGAACAGCCCGGCCTATCTAGTCTATTTTCCAGAGACTGGAAAAGTAATGAGATATAGGATTGTGAAGTTTCTTACAAAGAGGGTTGGTGAACAGCAAACCCAGACAGAGGATACTTTAAGTGATGACTTTAGTCCATCTAGGGACAAGAGTGATCTGAAATCCTCTAACGATCAAAGTTCTACAAGAATGAGATGCCTGACCAACAGATAGAGAAATCTGATCACAATCAGATACTACCAGAATTAGAGCAAGATGAAAGTATAAATCACCCAAAACGTGACAGGAAACCTCCGTCATATTTGAGTGATTATGTCACAACTTGCAAAAGTGATACAGATCAAGTAACTTATAATGTAGATTATTGTTATAAGTTATCCGATTTTCCTCAGATATATCAGGAAGCTATAGAATCCCCTAATGCAGAGCTTTGGAAAGAAGCAATGAAAGAGGAAATGAGTTCTCTCGAAGAGAACAACACGTACACCCTGACGACACTACCAGAAGGTCAGCAGGCAGTGGGGGGCAAATGGGTTTACACGGTCAAGGAAAACAAACCTAATGGCAAAACGTACAAAGCCAGGTACGTAGCCAAAGGGTATAGTCAAACAAAGGATATTGACTATCACGAAACCTTCGCTCCAACTGCCAGTCTCACATCAGTTAGAGCTTTAATGCAGATAGCGGCAAAATATGATCTTAGTTTACATCAAATGGATGTAAAAACGGCATATCTGCACGCTCCGATTGATTGTGACATATACATGGAGCAGGCTGAAGGTTTCTCGAAGTCCCTTCAGAGTCTGGAGAAAAACTGGTGTATAAATTAAACAAGTCTTTATATGGCTTGAAGCAATCAGGAAGAAATTGGAATAGTATGCTGCACACCATCTTGTACAAAACAACTTTGTACAGAGTGATGTTGATCATTGTTTATATATTAAAGATGTTAAGGGTAAACTGATTATCATACTCGTATGGGTAGATGATTTAATCATCGGTGCAAGCAATGATTTATTGCTGCATAATACAAAAGAGATGTTGAAAGATAAGTTCCATATGAAAGATCTTGGAAAGCTTACCTACTTCCTAGGTATTCTTTTTGAGCAAGGTACTGATTATGTCAAAATGAGTCAGAGGACTTATTTGACAAAATTACTGACAAGATTTGAAATGTATGATTGCAAATCCTGCTCTACTCCTTCTGAACCAAAATTAGAATGGGGCGACGAGGATTTTACTGAGCCAAGTAAATATCGTGAGTTGGTTGGTTGTCTGATCTATGCAATGACATGCACGCGCCCTGATATATGCTGGATTGTCACGACATTGTCACAGTATTTGTCGAGACCTCTCCGAGAGCATTGGGTCGCGGCAAAACATGTTTTGCGCTATCTGAAAGGAACTCTTGATTATGAATTATGTTATAGAAAGTGTGATGATGATTTGAGGTTAGTTGGTTATAGCGATGCTGACTGGGCTTCTTCGACCCATGATAGACGAAGTATCAGTGGGTACTGTTTCAGTTTAACTGAAACCGGGCCATTGATTTTATGGAGGTCAAAGAAGCAACGGACTGTGGCCCTCTCCTCTTGTGAGGCAGAGTATATTGCTCTGGCAGCGACCGTTCAGGAAGCTCTTTACCTCATCCAGTTATTAAACAAACTCGTTAATATTTGTTGTCCAATTCAAATTTATGAAGATAATCAGGGTACGATAGCTTTATCGAAAGATCCAGTTAATCGACAAAGGTCAAAACATATAGATATTCGTTATCATTTTATACGCTCGACTATCAACGCAGGCAAGGTTGTAGTATACTACTGTCCCACTACAAATATGATAGCTGATATAATGACTAAATCAGCAACACGTTCAAAGTTGCAAAGATTCAAAGATGTTATATTTGGTACTTAAAATGTTTGGAAAATATTGATTTTAGTTAAAGTTATGTTAACCATTGATGTATCAAGAGTAAGCAAATAAGAATGAGATCAAGTGGGGGTGTTAAAATGTGATCTCATCGTATTTCTCCTTGTATGTACTTAGGGCAACCTGTGGCCGAGAGTTGTTGTTGCTTGTTAAAATAAAACGGCGAAAGCACATTGTCTGATTTGAGTTGAGAATATATCTATCCGAATCCCCATCATGACGGAAGCACCGAGTACATCCACTGGCAGTACGGCCAGTGGAACGAACAGTTCAACAAATATCACAGGTATTACACTGTATCAAGGTGCATCCATGGTCAGGAATGCTAAATGAGCAATGCTATAAATCAAATATGACTTAGCTGAAATTGTGTTTTCTGCACATAAAATCTTGATAAATGCATAAGAGTTTAGAAAACTTCTATTTATCTCCATAAAAGATCCGAACAATTTTTCGCATTCAAAAAGTTAAGAAATTCTTAGACGTTTCCTCTAGAAGTTCAAAAATCAATTGGATTTCATGCGGATTGTATAATATTAAACATGAATGAATCAATGAAACTCGGAAAAATGAAAATTACCGGTGAGGTATGTTACAATATGTACTTGGGCCCCCTGTGGCACAATCAGTAATAAAAGCACGGATGCACGGCCCATCTGCCATTATTGTTATGTTCCCACCACGTTGTCGTTTATATTGTTGTTCTAGTACTTGTATGACATCTTGAAACATGGTGGCAGCGGTGGGATCATATGATATTTGATCTGTTGATCTGTTTGTAAAAGAAACGGGTTGAAAGCGTGTGCTGCGTGTCTAACTTGGCTCGAGAATTATGGCCGACGAGGGTTCTTCTACAACGCCTCAATCGTCATCTGAGCCTAATACTTCTACTTCATTGGGTGAGCAAGCTTCAAGATCGTCATTGCTACCTGGCTATGTTTTTAAACCGCCCGAGCCAGTTAAGGTAGCAAAGAATGGCGTAGAAAATTGGAAAATATGGAAACAGCTTTGGCAGCATTATTGTGTTGTGTCTAATGTTGAACAACACCCAGCGGCCTTTAGAAAGTCGCTTCTCATATCGACGATGGGAGTCGAAGCTTTGCAGATATATAATGGATGTGATCCACTCGATACGGATACTGCTGAAGATATTCTTAATAAATTGGACGCACACATTCTTGGGGAAACCAATCAAACTTTTGAAAGGTACAAGTTTAACACAAGAATTCAAAAGTCTGATGAAACTATCGATGATTACTTGGCCAGCCTCAAGACTCTAGCTAAAACTTGCAATCTCTGTGAATGTTTGAAGACGTCTCTTTTGAGAGATAGAATCGTCCTAGGTGTGAGAGATGATGTCACACGAAAGCGTTTATTGCAAGAAGGAAAGCTTACCTTACGTAAAGCCCTAGACATTGGTCGCACACACGAGAAAACCACCAGCCAGTTGAAAGTCATTGCTGGGAAAGAAGATGAAGTGCATCGAGTAAACATCAGTAAATACAACCGAAAGTATTTATCTGCGGCGAGAAATGCTAAAGGATATCAAGCCGCGAGAAAGACTAATGAGGTGAGTAGCAAGTCAACTCACAAAGGGAAAATTAACAAATGCAAGTTTTGTGGTGCTGAACACATAATGAAGAAAGAAGCTTGTAAAGCATGGGGAAAGCAGTGCAATAAATGCAAAGGTTCAAACCACTTTGCCAGGTGCTGTTCTGCCCTGAAACCAACACATGTGGTGAGAGATGATTCTTCATCAGATTCTTCTACCGAATGGGTGTTTCCAGTAATAGCAGAATCAGTGAACTCTGTCTCTACTGGCGCTGTTTACGCAGAAATGTCTCTTGAGGATGGAGGAAAGGTGAAATTCCAAGTTGACTGTGACAACTGCACCAGTACTCTCCTACTACGCCCCAGAGAAAGAGCTCGTGATCCAATGTGATGCTTCAAGTACAGGAATTGGAGCTGTTCTCCTTCAAGATGGAAAGCCTTTGGGATATGCTAGTCGAGCTTTAACAGCCACAGAATGTGAGTATGCTCAAATTGAGAAAGAGTGTCTTGCAATTGTGTATTCGCTTGAACGATTCCACCAGTATACCTTTGGGCGAAAGACAGTGGTTTACAGTGACCACAAGCCTCTAGAGATGATTGTGAAGAAACCACTCTACAAAGTGCCCAAGCGACTCCAAGGCATGATGTTAAGGCTAATCCAGTATGACATAGAAGTAAAATACCAGAAAGGAGAAGAAATGTACATTGCAGATGCATTGTCTCGTGCCTACTTGCCTTGTGCTGGACAGGACAAGGAGCTATTGGTCAAGGTAGATGCTGTTAGTCACATGAGAATCAGAGAAGAAAGCCTTAAGCAGTTAAAGAAAGCGACTGAAGAAGATGAGACATTGCAAGCTCTCAAAGCTGTCATTCTTAAAGGCTGGCCTGAAACTAAGCAGGAACTCTCAACCCTTGTTACTCCATTCTTCTCCTATAGAGATGAACTACTCCTACATGATGGTCTGTTGTTCAAAGGAGAAAGAGTCATTGTTCCAGAGAGAGAAAGAAAGTCCATCAAGGAACAATTACATGTTTCGCATTTAGGAGGTGATAGTATGCTAAGACGTGTTCGAGAATGCGTGTTTTGGCCTGGAATGTCTGCAGAAGTCAAGCAGTTGGCCAGCGACTGTGATGCTTGTCAGAGTTATGCCAGGGCACAGCAGAAAGAAACACTGATGCCCGTTGAAGCTAAATTACCATGGGAGATTGTAGGTGCTGACTTGTTTACACTTGACAACAAGGATTACCTGGTGACGACTGATTATTTCAGTGGATTTTGGGAAATTGACCGAATGAAGAGTACCTCATCTGTTGCAGTAATCAAGAAGCTCAAGCAGCATTTCTCAAGGTATGGAGCCCCGTGTAAACTGATTAGCGATAATGGACCCCAATTTGCTTCACAAGAGTTTCACAACTTTGCTGTAACATGAGACTTTGAGCATTGCCCCTCAGCTCCTACCCACTCCAATGCCAATGGTAAGGCCGAAGCAGGAGTCAAGGCAGCAAAGCTCATGTTGAAGAAATGCATGAAAAGTGATACTGACCCAAATTTGGCATTTCTGGAGATCAGAAACACCCCTACTCAAGGAGCAGGCAGCAGTCCAGCCCAACGATTACTCAGCCGACGTACCAAATCATTGCTGCCTACTACGACCGAACATTTAGCACCCAGGGGAAGAGAGTTTCTGAAAACAGACCAACTTAGGCTGAAATCAGAACAACGGAGACAGTGTAGAAATTACAACAAATCTGCCAAGGACCTGGAAGTACTCGCAGAGGGTGACACTATTAGGCTAAAGCTATTTAGAATTGGCGCAAAAGAATGGGAGAAAGGGACTGTACGCAGGCGATTAGATGAGAGATCATATGAAATCGAGACCCCCTCTGGTACGTATAGAAGAAACCGGGTTGATTTGAGGAAGACGAGGGATCTCTCTTCATCAGAGGAGATGTCAATCCCTGAGACGCCAATGATGATCCAAGAGTCTGTGGAACTACCTGCAGAGCAACCAAATTCACCACCCATCGAACAGACTCCCTCACCACCTAGCAACCACCATCCAGTTGATCCTCCTGTTGTAATACCCGTTGATCAGCCAGAAGTCCATCTACGAAGATCCACAAGGATCAGAAGGAAACCAACCCACCTCAATGACTTTGTCAAATGAGCTTAGTATGAACTTTGTCTATGAACCTTACTTACTTATGCTATCATGATTATTTGTCTGTTATTCAGATACAATAGTTCCATCTTTATGGAAGGGACATATTTAGTATTAATATTACTCGATTTTAGGTTTATTAATTATTTCATTTATCTATCATTATACTAAGGCAATTAGTTTCTTTACATTAGAGAAAGAATGTTACAATATGTACTTGGGCCCCCTGTGGCACAATCAGTAATAAAAGCCCGGATGCACAGCCCATCCGCCATTATTGTTATGTTCCCACCACGTTGTCGTTTATATTGTTGTTCTAGTACTTGTATGACATCTTGAAACAAGGTAGTTGACGTTTTTTTCCATATTTTTTGAAGTTATAATACTTATTTGGCCTGGTATTGGTAAAAACAACGTGAGCGACTTGTATACATCTTGAAATAATGTTTTTTCGTATTATGTTTAATAAAATATATCGAAAACAACGAGGTTTCGCACAAAATAAATTTTTTTTAAAAAATCCAGGAGGGGAATGTTTTCGAAGCGGGCTCAGATTTGAGCCTGGTCAGTGGTAACTACCATGGCCATTTAGGACCATGTGGCGTCAGCAGAGCTTCTACGCATGCGCAGAAGGGCGAAGTCTGCCATGTTTTCGGCTTCAAAAAGATGGCGGCGAAGTTACCAAAAAATGACGAGCTGGTCCTCCAGGAATTATTATATAGCTCAGTGGCTGGTGCCCCATCGAAAATGAGATAATGAGTTTCATCTTCATGAAGGTGGGTAGATGTGCCTGCGATAAGCTCTAGCTGTAAAGGATTCGCTGGTCATGCCACCCATCTGTATGGTGTAATGCATCGAACCAAAAACTTGAGACACCGCCGGGCAAACGGTAATGTTGCGTCCCTTTTGTCCGCACACTTGGCGATATGCTCGCTCTCCTACGCGAGCCCGCCCTTGAGTTCTGGCTGACATATAAAACCACATTCGTCGACGAAGACAAGATGATGAACATTCGCCTCTTGTAAGAACCAACTACCATATTCGTGTCGTCCCTCAATATCGTCTGGTCTGTTACAATCCGCTGGGAAATGAGTACAGCATTCCGTCAAACGCCTGTATTCAAAAAGCTCACTCACACTCAATGAGTGCGATTTTGTTAATGCTTTTGTTAATGTAATTTTGTTAATGCTTATCAATGAGAAAGTTTTCTCTGAATAGATGGAAAGATATAAGGTAAAACACTGAAAATCAAGCTCCTATTCGGCTTGAAATATCGCCATTGAAACGTTATGAGAAGATTAAGATCTCCCACTCAATGAGTTTGGGTGTGAGTGAGCTTTTAGAATACAGGTGTAAAGGCTAATTTCCACTGCGGAAAAACGAGCAGCGGATCGGATCGGATCTGATTTTTTTCCGAGCCTGGTCCGATCCATGCAGTGATTTCGGATCGGATAAAAAAGTTGAAACTATTTGAACTTTTTTTTATCTGGTCTCGGACGCTTTCGGATCAATATAAGCCAAAAATTTCAACAGACGGCGCACGTGCGGATTATCTTTCGTTCCGATCCGATCCGCTGCTCGTTTTCCTGAGTGGAAATTAGCCTTAAGTTTTTACCAATTGTTATTTCATGAACTTGTGGCTTCTCAGGCATTCGACGTCGTAATTCTGTATTTATGGCCCGAAGTGTCAAAGTGCAATCTTCATCAGTAGTATAGAGAGTGGGGGTTCTACGTCGGGTGGTGCGGGTGGTGCGCCTTGCACCACACGTGACGTCACCAACGGCTGAACATTATTAATTTATTCCAATTTTGCGTTAAATTTTTTAATAATTTTGCATTGCTAATGCATTCGTTTAATGTTTATCATTATTTAGCAGTATAACCATGTGTTTATTACAGAAGAGGCCATTCCACGTAAAAGCTTTTTATGCTTTCGTTGTTCAATACGTATATAAACTTTATAGGCTTTATAGTTATACTCCTCATTGAAACCAGTGATTTATATTTGCTTACATTCTGTTTAGAGATCTTTAGAGACTTTAGAGATCTCATGCAGTTATATAATTAATCATAATTCAACGCTCTGCCTGTTTTTACACAATGATTGTGCAATAATTTATTATTCATATAAGTACGCGCGGGGGCGAGGAATGGGGTAAACAAAGAAGCGTAAATACACACAATAGCGTAAATACGCAGGATATGTTTGTTTCACAGCAATTTACTTAAATTACACAAATGCTGGTTTACTTATCACACAGTGTCAATCGGTTAAAGATATCTTTGTTGCTCAGGCGTCTAAGTATCAGCAAACCCCGAAGCAAGCTCTCCTTTATCGTTGAATAACTCGTCGTTTCGCCAGTCCTTCATGAAACTTTGGCGTTGTTCAGGGGTCCAAGAATCTGTCAGGTTCGCAGCAATACCATATCGCCATTCTCCACTTCCCATCGAAGTAAACGACTCATAATTTCTATATTCTTCTCAAACAGAAGATCCCTTTCATATCAGTCATAGCGACTTTCCAAAGTTCGTAAGCTCAGCCACAGTTGTCTGGTGGTGCGGGTGGTGCGCCTTGCACCACACGTGACGTCACCAACGGCTGAACATTATTAATTTATTCCAATTTTGCGTTAAATTTTTTAATATTTTTGCATTGCTAATGCACTCGTTTAATGTTTATCATTATTTAGCAGTATAACCAAGGGTTTTTTACAGAAGAGGCCATTCCATGTAAAAGCGTTTTATGCTTTCGTGTTCAATACATATATAAACTTTATAGGCTTTATAGTTATACTCCTCATTGAAACCAGTGATTTATATTTGCTTATAATCTGTTTAGAGATCTTTAGAGGCTTTAGAGATCTCATGCAGTTACATCATTAATCATAATTTAACGCTCTGCCGCTTTTACATAATGATTAGCCAATGAATTCTAATTATGTATGCGTATATCATAATATTTACACCGTATCCTAGCAACCCATGGTTGAACTGCAGGCAAGATCGAGCGCGTTTGAATATAAACTTTAAACGCATGCGCAAAATTACATATGATCCGAAATATTCATGTTTGCACCACAAGCCGCAGGAGCATTTTAGCTGCATATAATCTAACAAATTTTGCAAATACAAAGTTGAAATTGTAAACTGCACAAGAGGCTGCTAAAGAGTAAAGCGTAAAGAGGTTAAAGAGAGTTACTCAAGGTAAGATGTTGAATAGTTTATTTATTGCGAATTACATAAACTGATATGATTAATAAGTGCAAAGAAGTCGATTCCTAGTAGTTGCTGTGCCCTTGCTGCCTGCACCTATGAAGAAATATCTGAGGTGCCCCTTGGGAAAGTCATGCAACGAACGGAGAAGCGGATTCCTAGTAGTTGCTGTGCCCTTGTTGGCTGTACCTATGAAGAAATATCTGAGGTGCCCCTTGGGAAAGTCATGTGACGAACGGAGAAGCCGATTCCTAGTAGTTGCTGTGCCCTTGTTGGCTGTACCTATGAAGAAATATCTGAGGTACCCCTTGGGAAAGTCATGCAACGAACGGTTTAGTAAAGTTGTTGCGGTTGTCAGCTGAATCATTTACGATATATAAATGTGACGAAGTCACTTTTATTACGCCATTCAGTAGTTGCTATGCCCTTGCAAGCTGTGAAATTGCTTGCTACATTGATTTAGTATTTTTTCACCCTGTCTATAGAATGGATTATGCCTGCAAGACTTGTTCGAAGAAGTTCACTCAGTTGAGAAGTTTAATTCGCCACGAACGCTCTACCCATGGAGAAAAGAAGTTATTTATCTGTGAACAGTGCAATGAGTCTTTTACACGAAGAGATGCTGTCAAACGGCATGAAAAGCGACATCAAAAGATCACTACGTATACCTGTAACAACTGTAGAAAAGAATTCTACCGTCACGACAAATTAGTGGAACATCAAATTCCTTGTCAAGGAAATCCCTTAAACGAAGACCTGATGAAGATGATAGCGGTCCAGTTCCAAAGAAGGCACGAGCTGATATTCAAATTGGAAAAGGGGAAACAGCTAGCCAGGTTGAAGAAAACGACACAACCCTTGCGGTTCAACAACAGCTTTTGAAGATTCCTTGAAGAAAATCGAACTGAGACCACGAAAAAACCAAAAACACGACATGTCTCAGTTCTTGCGTGGTAAGACAAAGCCCATTTTGAAACACCTTTCGAAAGAGTTGGGAAAGAAACGGGGTATTAAATGGTTTGTTAACGTTAAAGTACGGTTTGTAAAACATAAACCCGATGGCGAAGATTTAATAACCGAGCCTCATTTTCGCAGTCTCTGTATGAAAACAGTTAATCAGCACGAACTGTCTAATCAACTGGATGAAGCGAAGCAGAAAATTGTCCAGTCGCTGGTGTTATTTCAAAAAGAAGGAAGTGGTTGGATATTAGACGAAATCCTTCATCTTGACCTTTGCATGGCCAAGTATACTCCAGTAAAAGGATCCAGTTACGTCCCACTACCTAGAACTATTGCAGGAAAGAAAGCAGTGATCAACGTTAAGAATTCCGACAGCAAATGCTTCATGTGGGCCGTCCTTGCTGCTCTTCATCCTATTCACTGGAAGAATAACCCGGAAAGATTACATCACTATGAAAATTTTCAAGATGAATTAAATTTTAATGGTATTGAATTTCCTGTGACTATTGATAAAATTAACAGATTCGAAAAGCAGAACAATATCTCAATTAACGTTATTGGCTTTGAAGATAAAGTACTATTCCCAATCTACGTAACGAAAGAGCGCTTCAACAATCATGTTGACTTGTTGCTATACTCTGAAGGTAATGCGAGACATTACTGCCTCATTAAAATTTAAACAAATTGCTCTACAGTCAAAACCATCATAAAGCACGGATGTTTTACTGCCGCTATTGCTTTCATGGATTTATCCGCGAAGACTTGCTTCAAGAGCATGAACCACACTGCTGTCAACATGCAGCTCAACGCATCGAACTCCCGACTGAAGAGAATGCTCAACTGTTCTTTAAAGACTACTATAAACAGTTGAAAGTTCCGTTTGCGATTTACGCCGACTTCGAAAGTCTTACCACCAAGATCAACTCAGTTAATCCTAATCCTGAAAAATCCTCCACTGAAAATACCAAACCACCAACCTTGTGGATTTTCCTACATTGTTGTATCCGACCATGAGAAGTATTGTAAAGCGCCTGTAGTTTATCGTGGAGAAGACGCAGTCGACGAATTTTGAAGTGTTTAGAAGAAGAGCAGAAATATATTCAAGAGAAACTGGATTGGATCGAGCCCATGCGAATTGAGAGAGAAGAAGAGCAAGCGTTTCAAGATGCAGTCCATTGTCATATTTGTGGATATGAATTGGGTTCTGACCGTGTTCGTGACCATTGTCATCTTTCTGGAAAGTACCGCGGAGCTGCGCACAACGATTGCAATTTGAACTATAGTTTTACCGGCCGAATTCCTGTTATTCTTCACAATCTACGTGGGTATGATTCTCATCTCATAATGCAAGGACTTGGTAAACTCAAAGAGAAGAAGATCAACTGCATTCCAAACAACACCGAAAAGTACATCTCCTTCTCCATCGATAATATGGATTATATCGACTCCTTACAATTCATGAATGCATCGTTGGAGAAGCTAGTATCTAATCTAGCAAAGGACGGCGTTGAAAAGTTCCCCGTTCTAAAGAAATATATCGACAGCGACAAAATATCCCTTCTGCTAAGAAAAGGCATCTACCCCTACGACTACATGGATTGTACAGAGAGATTCAATGAACCAACCTTACCATCGAAGGAATCCTTCTACAACGTGTTGAACGACGAACATATTTCAGACGAAGATTACGCACACGCGACGAATGTATTTAACAAGTTTGCCTGTCGGAACATGGGTGATTACCATGATCTGTACTTAACGTCGGACGTTCTTCTCCTTGCGGATGTGTTTGAAAATTTCCGAAGCGTGTGCCTCAAAGCCTACAACTTGGATCCCTGCCACTTCTATACAAGTCCTGGTCTAGCCTGGCAAGCGTGTTTGAAAATGACTGAAGTCGAACTCGAGCTGCTGACCGATCCAGACATGTATCTATTCATCGAAGAAGGTCTTCGCGGTGGAATTTCAATGATTAGCAACCGCTATGGTAAAGCCAACAATCCATACGTTCCCGATTATGACCCAGAACAAGAGACCTCCTACGTGATGTATCTTGACGCTAACAACCTCTATGGCTGGGCTATGTCGCAACCTCTACCCACGGGTGAGTTTGACTGGCTAACCGACCAAGAGATTGCAGAACTCGACATCACGGACGTTGCGGACGATGACGATGAAGGCTACATATTGGAAGTAGACCTACACTATCCGTCCGAATTACACGATCTTCACAACGATTATCCTCTAGCACCTGAGAAAATGAAGATTTCTTCAGAAATGTTGTCACCATACTGCCAGGATCTGTCGGAAAGTTTGCAACTTCGTGGTGGCGCTGTGTCTAAATTGGTGCCGAATCTACAAGACAAGATCAACTATGTGGTCCATTACCGCAATTTAAAGCAATACCTGGCACTTGGCATGAAGTTGACAAAGATCCACCGCGTTTTGGTATTCCAACAAAGCCCATGGTTAAAGACCTACATCGATTTCAACACCGAGAAACGAAAACATGCAGCAAACGACTTCGAGAAAGATTTCTACAAGTTGATGAATAACTCGGTGTTCGGCAAAACCATGGAGAATTTGAGAAAGCGCGTTAACGTCAAGCTCGTCAACGATAAGACGAAACTATCGAAATTGATAGCATCTCCTTCCTTTGACTACTTCCGCATATTCTCAGAGGAGTTGGCAGCTGTCAACATGAAGAAGACGAAGCTTTACCTAAACCGCCCCATCTACGTCGGATTCACCATCCTGGATCTCTCCAAAGTACTCATGTATCAGTTTCACTACGAGTACATGAAACCCAAGTATGAGTACAACGCAAAGTTGTTGTTCACAGACACGGATAGCCTTTGTTACGAGATTAAGACCGACGACGTTTATCAAGACATGTTGCAAGACATCGATCTCTTTGACACATCCGAATACGCACGAGACCATCCACTGCACAGCCTGACGAACAAGAAAGTCCTTGGCAAAATGAAAGATGAAACGCATGGCATACCCATCCAAGAGTTTGTTGGTTTGCGACCGAAGATGTACTCCATTCTCTATACCGAAAACGACAAGCAAGTGGAGAAGAAAACGGCTAAAGGAATAAAGAAGTCCGTCACGAAACGAAAGCTTCGGCACACCAACTACAAGGAATGTTTGTTTGATAAGAAACGGACAATGGCCAGCATGAATCAGATTCGAAGTGAACGCCATGAAATCTACTCCATTAAATTGAACAAGATTGGTCTTAGCCCTTATGACGACAAACGCTATATTATAAACGATGGAGTGAACACTCTTGCTTATGGACATTACCAAATCATAAGCACAGACGAGTGAAATATCAAGTTTTATTGTTGTTGAACAATACATAAGTTACGTTTTAAAGTTATAAATCATTGCAATTGCATGAAATACAAATTATGTTACAATGTTACGTGTTTATAAAATTGAAGTTACATGTTTATTTATATTAAGAGGAGGTTTTTTCTATGTGGAAAATGCTCAAACCTTATAAAATCATAATATTGTACGCATGCGTGGATGCATTAAGGTGTGTTTTGAAAGTTTGATGTTGAATGTTGGGTTTACATAGAAACAAACTCTCCTCTTAAGTTACGTGTTAAAGTTATAAATTGTTCTGAAAGTTAATAAATTGTTGTAAAAGTTAATAAATATTTGAAAGAAATCCTTTGATTATTCTCAGTCTTCAGTTTGTGGTATAATGATCCAGATTCTACCCCGTCTGTTTAGTCTAAAAATGCAACCATTTCGCTGGGATATTGTTCGGCTTGTCTTTTGTATGTTCAACACTGTCGTTTTTCCTCTTTAGAACTCTAGGCTTGCTGTTTTCCTTGCTTATCTTTTTGGTGCTTAATAATTCACACACCACGTCTAGCTGTCGTTTGTTCTCATGTCTGTTCTCATCATCAAGAGTGTTCTCATTTGCTCTGTTGTACACAACACATTTCCCTTTCGGCTGTAGTTTCTTCTTGTAGGTACTTCTTTCTTTGGTCAATATCGAGCAGATGCACATCCGCAAGATGATTTGCCAATCTTACAAGGTATTTTGCACCGCAATTGGGAACGGTACAATCACGACAAACGCGCTTCGCCATGTCTACGGTTTGAAGAACAGGATGCAAATGAGCTGTTTCCTCTGATTACTGACTTTTATTAGGGCCAATCGGGCCATAGTACAGGCCAATCGGGCCAAAAAGGCCAAAAGGCCAAAATAGGAGACACAGCTCCTTCCAATCCCATAACCGCTTGCCAAAGCCTCATATCATTTAATCTCTTAGTATATGAACAGTTCTTTCTCGATTCTTTTACATACATCTTTCCCACTGTCTTTAGCACAGTTTTGGATGGTTTGATAGTCATAGAAGGCTTGTCTGTTTGCTCCATTCCTAATATCTTGTTTAAGTTGGTTTTATTTCGGCGTTTAAATTTATGCTGAGGCATAAAGGCTTGTCTGCATGCGGATTTGCCGTCTTATTATGTGAGTGTTTTTTTCTCGATTCTTTTACACTTCAACGTTTCCCCTGCTTTTCGGATAATCACCAATTCAGTTCGTTTGTGTATCGTAGTATAGTTAGTCGTTCGCTTGAGCTTGAGTTTCTTGATTTGTGCAGTTTGGCTTTTTTCTGATCTTTAACATTTATCTTCTTTTAATGGCTCTTTTACGTAAATCATTTACCCCAGTTGATTTTGAGCGTAAAACCTCTTTCTTTGAAGATGCTTTAGGAGACATCGTTTTGTGTGCACACTTTGCTGGCATATTGCAAACTGAGGACACAGTTTATTAAAATCACGTTATTTCATACATATGATTTTCGCAATCACAGCGCTTATGACAAAAACCTAAAAGTCTCTTCTTTTAGCATCCGTCTTCGATCTGTACAAAAATTACATCTCCAATCAGCAAGTGTATATTTGAGCAGCTCTTGACTGTCTACACAAGGTTTAATATCCGTTAGGGTTTCGATAAAAGCCTCCGTGACCTTTGTCTCTGAGATTTTTGACAACGCCTTGTCAAAATACATGCATAACTTTTCGTCTTTTTCCATATAGTGATACATTGATGTTTTGTCTGAGATAAATTTTCCATAATACAACCATTACAATTATCAACCACAAGTTGAGATATCATCATTGATATCTCTTTTGCGTAACACTTTAGCAATTTGTTTTCGATACATGAAAGCATTGAAAACGTCAAAGAGTAAAGCCCCTTACAGACGAGCAAGTTTTCTATGACAAGTTTTTATGTGACAAGTTTTAATTGTTCGTCTGTACGCGCAACTTTGACAATTTTTTCTATGACAAGTACAATTGTTCAAAATCAAATATAATTGTACTTGTCATAGAAAAAATTGTCAAAGTTGCGCGTACAGACGAACAATCAAAACTTGTCACATAAAAACTTGTCATAGAAAACTTGCTCGTCTGTAAGGGGCTTTACTCTTTGACGTTTTCAATGCTTTCATGTATCGAAAACAAATTGCTAAAGTGTTACGCAAAAGAGATATCAATGATGATATCTCAACTTGTGGTTGATAATTGTGATGGTTGTATTATGGAAAATTTATCTCAGACAAAACATCAATGTATCACTATATGGAAAAAGACGAAAAGTTATGCATGTATTTTGACAGGGCGTTGTCAAAAATCTCAGAGACAAAGGTCACGGAGGCTTTTATCGAAACCCTAACGGATATTAAACCTTGTGTAGACAGTCAAGAGCTGCTCAAATATACACTTGCTGATTGGAGATGTAATTTTTGTACAGATCGAAGACGGATGCTAAAAGAAGAGACTTTTAGGTTTTTGTCATAAGCGCTGTGATTGCGAAAAATCATATGTAAAATAACGTGATTTTAATAAACTGTGTCCTCAGTTTGCAATATGCCAGCAAGTGTGCACACAAAACGATGTCTCCTAAAGCATCTTCAAAGAAAGAGGTTTTACGCTCAAAATCAACTGGGGTAAATGATTTACGTAAAAGAGCCATTAAAAAGAAGATAAATGTTAAAGATCAGAAAAAAGCCAAACTGCACAAGATCAAGAAACTCAAGCTCATGCAAACGACTAACTATACTACGATACACAAACGAACTGAATTGGTGATTATCCGAAAAGCAGGGGAAACGTTGAAGTGTAAAAGAATCGAGAAAAAAACACTCTCATAATAAGACGGCAAATCCGCATGCAGACAAGCCTTTATGCCTCAGCATAAATTTAAACGCCGAAATAAAACCAACTTAAACAAGATATTAGGAATGGAGCAAACAGACAAGCCTTCTATGACTATCAAACCATCCAAAACTGTGCTAAAGACAGTGGGAAAGATGTATGTAAAAGAATCGAGAAAGAACTGTTCATATACTAAGAGATTAAATGATATGAGGCTTTGGCAAGCGGTTATGGGATTGGAAGGAGCTGTGTCTCCTATTTTCGCCTTTTTGGCCTTTTTGGCCCGATTGGCCTGTACTATGGCCCGATTGGCCCTAATAAAAGTCAGTAATCAGAGGAAACAGCTCATTTGCATCCTGTTCTTCAAACCGTAGACATGGCGAAGCGCGTTTGTCGTGATTGTACCGTTCCCAATTGCGGTGCAAAATACCTTGTAAGATTGGCAAATCATCTTGCAGACGTGCATCTGCTCGATATGACCAAGAAGAAGAATACCTACAAGAAGCGAAACTACAGCCGAAAGGGAAATGTGTTGTGTACAACAGAGCAAATGAGAACACTCTTGATGATGAGAACAGACATGAGAACAAACGACAGCTAGACGTGGTGTGTGAATTATTAAGCACCAAAAAGATAAGCAAGGAAAACAGCAAGCCCAGAGTTCTAAAGAGGAAAAACAACAGTGTTGAACATACAAAAGACAAGCCGGACAATATCCCAGCGAAATGGTTGCATTTTTAGACTAAACAGACGGGGTAGAATCTGGATCATTATACCACAAACTGAAGACTGAGAATAATCAAAGGATTTCTTTCAAATATTTATTAACTTTTACAACAATTTATTAACTTTCAGAACAATTTATAACGTTAACACGTAACTTAAGAGGAGAGTTTGTTTCTATGTAAACCCAACATTCAACACCAAACTTTCAAAACACACCTTAATGCATCCACGCATGCGTACAATATTATGATTTTATAAGGTTTGAGCATTTTCCACACATAGAAAAAACCTCCTCTTAATATAAATAAACATGTAACTTCAACTTTATAAACACGTAACATTGTAACATAACTTTGTATTTCATGCAATTGCAATGATTTATAAGTTTAAAACGTATAACTTATGTATTGTTCAACAACAATAAAACTTGATATTTCACTCGTCTGTGCTTATGATTTGGTAATGTCCATAAGCAAGAGTGTTCACTCCATCGTTTAGAATATAGCGTTTGTCGTCATAAGGGCTAAGACCAATCTTGTTCAATTTAATGGAGTAGATTTCATGGCGTTCACTTCGAATCTGATTCATGCTGGCCATTGTCCGTTTCTTATCAAACAAACATTCCTTGTAGTTGGTGTGCCGAAGCTTTCGTTTCGTGACGGACTTCTTTATTCCTTTAGCCGTTTTCTTCTCCACTTGCTTGTCGTTTTCGGTATAGAGAATGGAGTACATCTTCGGTCGCAAACCAACAAACTCTTGGATGGGTATGCCATTCGTTTCATCTTTCATTTTGCCAAGGACTTTCTTGTTCGTCAGGCTGTGCAGTGGATGGTCTCGTGCGTATTCGGATGTGTCAAAGAGATCGATGTCTTGCAACATGTCTTGATAAACGTCGTCGGTCTTAATCTCGTAACAAAGGCTATCCGTGTCTGTGAACAACAACTTTGCGTTGTACTCATACTTGGGTTTCATGTACTCGTAGTGAAACTGATACATGAGTACTTTGGAGAGATCCAGGATGGTGAATCCGACGTAGATGGGGCGGTTTAGGTAAAGCTTCGTCTTCTTCATGTTGACAGCTGCCAACTCCTCTGAGAATATGCGGAAGTAGTCAAAGGAGGAGATGCTATCAATTTCGATAGTTTCGTCTTATCGTTGACGAGCTTGACGTTAACGCGCTTTCTCAAATTCTCCATGGTTTTGCCGAACACCGAGTTATTCATCAACTTGTAGAAATCTTTCTCGAAGTCGTTTGCTGCATGTTTTCGTTTCTCGGTGTTGAAATCGATGTAGGTCTTTAACCATGGGCTTTGTTGGAATACCAAAACGCGGTGGATCTTTGTCAACTTCATGCCAAGTGCCAGGTATTGCTTTAAATTGCGGTAATGGACCACATAGTTGATCTTGTCTTGTAGATTCGGCACCAATTTAGACACAGCGCCACCACGAAGTTGCAAACTTTCCGACAGATCCTGGCAGTATGGTGACAACATTTCTGAAGAAATCTTCATTTTCTCAGGTGCTAGAGGATAATCGTTGTGAAGATCGTGTAATTCGGACGGATAGTGTAGGTCTACTTCCAATATGTAGCCTTCATCGTCATCGTCCGCAACGTCCGTGATGTCAAGTTCTGCAATCTCTTGGTCGGTTAGCCAGTCAAACTCACCCGTGGGTAGAGGTTGCGACATAGCCCAGCCATAGAGGTTGTTAGCGTCAAGATACATCACGTAGGAGGTCTCTTGTTCTGGGTCATAATCGGGAACGTATGGATTGTTGGCTTTACCATAGCGGTTGCTAATCATTGAAATTCCACCGCGAAGACCTTCTTCGATGAATAGATACATGTCTGGATCGGTCAGCAGCTCGAGTTCGACTTCAGTCATTTTCAAACACGCTTGCCAGGCTAGACCAGGACTTGTATAGAAGTGGCAGGGATCCAAGTTGTAGGCTTTGAGGCACACGCTTCGGAAATTTTCAAACACATCCGCAAGGAGAAGAACGTCCGACGTAAGTACAGATCATGGTAATCACCCATGTTCCGACAGGCAAACTGTTAAATACATTCGTCGCGTGTGCGTAATCTTCGTCTGAAATATGTTCGTCGTTCAACACGTTGTAGAAGGATTCCTTCGATGGTAAGGTTGGTTCATTGAATCTCTCTGTACAATCCATGTAGTCGTAGGGGTAGATGCCTTTTCTTAGCAGAAGGGATATTTTGTCGCTGTCGATTATTTCTTTAGAACGGGGAACTTTTCAACGCCGTCCTTTGCTAGATTAGATACTAGCTTCTCCAACGATGCATTCATGAATTGTAGGAGTCGATATAATCCATATTATCGATGGAGAAGGAGATGTACTTTTCGGTGTTGTTTGGAATGCAGTTGATCTTCTTCTCTTTGAGTTTACCAAGTCCTTGCATTATGAGATGAGAATCATACCCACGTAGATTGTGAAGAATAACAGGAATTCGGCCGGTAAAACTATAGTTCAAATTGCAATCGTTGTGCGCAGCTCCGCGGTACTTTCCAGAAAGATGACAATGGTCACGAACACGGTCAGAACCCAATTCATATCCACAAATATGACAATGGACTGCATCTTGAAACGCTTGCTCTTCTTCTCTCTCAATTCGCATGGGCTCGATCCAATCCAGTTTCTCTTGAATATATTTCTGCTCTTCTTCTAAACACTTCAAAAATTCGTCGACTGCGTCTTCTCCACGATAAACTACAGGCGCTTTACAATACTTCTCATGGTCGGATACAACAATGTAGGAAAATCCATAAGGTTGGTGGTTTTGGTATTTCTCAGTGGAGGATTTTTCAGGATTAGGATTAACTGAGTTGATCTTGGTGGTAAGACTTTCGAAGTCGGCGTAAATCGCAAACGGAACTTTCAACTGTTTATGGTAGTCTTTAAAGAACAGTTGAGCATTCTCTTCAGTCGGGAGTTCGATGCGTTGAGCTGCATGTTGACAGCAGTGTGGTTCATGCTCTTGAAGCAAGTCTTCGCGGATAAATCCATGAAAGCAATAGCGGCAGTAAAACATCCGTGCTTTATGATGGTTTTGACTGTAGAGCAATTTGTTTAAATTTTTAATGAGGCAGTAATGTCTCGCATTACCTTCAGAGTATAGCAACAAGTCAACATGATTGTTGAAGCGCTCTTTCGTTACGTAGATTGGGAATAGTATTTTATCTTCAAAGCCAATAACGTTAATTGAGATATTGTTCTGCTTTTCGAATCTGTTAATTTTATCAATAGTCACGGGAAATTCAATACCATTAAAATTTAATTCATCTTGAAAATTTTCATAGTGATGTAATCTTTCCGGGTTATTCTTCCAGTGAATAGGATGAAGAGCAGCAAGGACGGCCCACATGAAGCATTTGTTGTCGGAATTCTTAACGTTGATCACTGCTTTCTTTCCTGCAATAGTTCTAGGTAGTGGGACGTAACTGGATCCTTTTACTGGAGTATACTTGGCCATGCAAAGGTCAAGATGAAGGATTTCGTCTAATATCCAACCACTTCCTTCTTTTTGAAATAACACCAGCGACTGGACAATTTTCTGCTTCGCTTCATCCAGTTGATTAGACAGTTCGTGCTGATTAACTGTTTTCATACAGAGACTGCGAAAATGAGGCTCGGTTATTAAATCTTCGCCATCGGGTTTATGTTTTACAAACCGTACTTTAACGTTAACAAACCATTTAATACCCCGTTTCTTTCCCAACTCTTTCGAAAGGTGATTCAAAATGGGCTTTGTCTTACCACGCAAGAACTGAGACATGTCGTGTTTTTGGTTTTTTCGTGGTCTCAGTTCGATTTTCTTCAAGGAATCTTCAAAAGCTGTTGTTGAACCGCAAGGGTTGTTGTCGTTTTCTTCAACCTGGCTAGCTGTTTCCCCTTTTCCAATTTGAATATCAGCTCGTGCCTTCTTTGGAACTGGACCGCTATCATCTTCATCAGGTCTTCGTTTTAAGGGATTTCCTTGACAAGGAATTTGATGTTCCACTAATTTGTCGTGACGGTAGAATTCTTTTCTACAGTTGTTACAGGTATACGTAGTGATCTTTTGATGACGCTTTTCATGCCGTTTGACAGCATCTCTTCGTGTAAAAGACTCATTGCACTGTTCACAGATAAATAACTTCTTTTCTCCATGGGTAGAGCGTTCGTGGCGAATTAAACTTCTCAACTGAGTGAACTTCTTCGAACAAGTCTTGCAGGCATAATCCATTCTATAGACAGGGTGAAAAAAATACTAAATCAATGTAGCAAGCAATTTCACAGCTTGCAAGGGCATAGCAACTACCTGAATGGCGTAATAAAAGTGACTTCGTCACATTTATATATCGTAAATGATTCAGCTGACAACCGCAACAACTTTACTAAACCGTTCGTTGCATGACTTTCCCAAGGGGTACCTCAGATATTTCTTCATAGGTACAGCCAACAAGGGCACAGCAACTACTAGGAATCGGCTTCTCCGTTCGTCACATGACTTTCCCAAGGGGCACCTCAGATATTTCTTCATAGGTACAGCCAACAAGGGCACAGCAACTACTAGGAATCCGCTTCTCCGTTCGTTGCATGACTTTCCCAAGGGGCACCTCAGATATTTCTTCATAGGTGCAGGCAGCAAGGGCACAGCAACTACTAGGAATCGACTTCTTTGCACTTATTATATCATATCAGTTTATGTAATTCGCAATAAAATAAACTATTCAACATCTTACCTTGAAGTAACTCTCTTTAACCTCTTTACGCTTTACTCTTTAGCAGCCTCTTGTCGCAGTTTACAATTTCAACTTTATATTTGCAAAATTTGTTAGATTATATGCAGCTAAAATGCTCCTGCGGCTTGTGGTGCAAACATGAATATTTCGGATCATATGTAATTTTGCGCATGCGTTTAAAGTTTATATTCAAACGCGCTCGATCTTGCCTGCAGTTCAACCATGGGTTGCTAGGATACGGTGTAAATATTATGATATACGCATACATAATTAGAATTCATTGGCTAATCATTATGTAAAAGCGGCAGAGCGTTAAATTATGATTAATGATGTAACTGCATGAGATCTCTAAAGCCTCTAAAGATCTCTAAACAGATTATAAGCAAATATAAATCACTGGTTTCAATGAGGAGTATAACTATAAAGCCTATAAAGTTTATATATGTATTGAAAGCAGCATAAAACGCTTTTACATGGAATGGCCTCTTCTGTAAAAAACCCTTGGTTATACTGCTAAATAATGATAAACATTAAACGAGTGCATTAGCAATGCAAAAATATTAAAAAATTTAACGCAAAATTGGAATAAATTAATAATGTTCAGCCGTTGGTGACGTCACGTGTGGTGCAAGGCGCACCACCCGCACCACCAGACAACTGTGGCTGAGCTTACGAACTTTGGAAAGTCGCTATGACTGATATGGAAAGGGATCTTCTGTTTGAGAAGAATATAGAAATTATGAGTCGTTTACTTCGATGGGAAGTGGAGAATGGGCGATATGGTATTGCTGCGAACCTGACAGATTCTTGGACCCCTGAACAACGCCAAAGTTTCATGAAGGACTGGCGAAACGACGAGTTATTCAACGATAAAGGAGAGCTTGCTTCGGGGTTTGCTGATACTTAGACGCCTGAGCAACAAAGATATCTTTTAACCGATTGACACTGTGTGATAAGTAAACCAGCATTTGTGTAATTTAAGTAAATTGCTGTGAAACAAACATATCCTGCGTATTTACGCTATTGTGCGTATTTACGCTTCTTTGTTTACCCCATTCCTCGCCCCCGCGCGTACTTATATGAATAATAAATTATTGCACAATCATTGTGTAAAAACAGGCAGAGCGTTGAATTATGATTAATTATATAACTGCATGAGATCTCTAAAGTCTCTAAAGATCTCTAAACAGAATGTAAGCAAATATAAATCACTGGTTTCAATGAGGAGTATAACTATAAAGCCTATAAAGTTTATATACGTATTGAACAACGAAAGCATAAAAAGCTTTTACGTGGAATGGCCTCTTCTGTAATAAACACATGGTTATACTGCTAAATAATGATAAACATTAAACGAGTGCATTAGCAATGCAAAATTATTAAAAAATTTAACGCAAAATTGGAATAAATTAATAATGTTCAGCCGTTGGTGACGTCACGTGTGGTGCAAGGCGCACCACCCGCACCACCCGACGTAGAACCCCCACTCTCTATACTACTTTCATCTACAATTCTTTGAATACATCTTGTCATTTTTTCATCAAATCGAACATTGCGGCGGCCTCCACGTGGTTGTTTTTCAAATCGTCCTTCGCACAGATATCGAGCGATTATACTCCTGGCAGTTGACCGATTTATAGCTAATGTATCAGCCAAAGCCAGGTAGTCTTAATCTTGTTCCTCGAATGCTCTAACCAACCGTCCTTTGTCCTCTTGTGATATTCTTTGACGTTGTGTCATTTTCAAAGTATGCATGTACAGTACTGTACATCAGCATACACCAACTAAAGTAAAAAAAATTCCTGCTCTCTCTAGGGATGGGCAACCTTTTGAAGGGAAATCGTAGGTACAAGGTTGGGGGTGGCAATTTCCGCTGACATATTTATTAAACTGTCATTGAATTGTAAAATTGTAATTTAAATTCTTCTTAGAGGACAACTGTATTGCAAACTAACTAAACGAATAAAACGATATCTTAACAATCTACCAAATCACATCAGACAACACTTGAATAGAAGAAGATTTAAAAAAGCTGTAAAAGGTAATTCAAATATGCTCATTACTTCTTGCAAAATCTGAACATACTTTTCAGAATTTAACTAAAGTATTTTGAAAACAAGTACTAATATAATTTATATGTCATGTAATATCATGGCTGCCTCGAAATCCTTTGTTTTACTAGTACCGATTAACAACTAAATAACCCGATGCATATACATTAGGGACGATTACTAACCAATCGTACCTAATGTTTATGCCAAATACCCGCCTTTGTTATTTATTTATATCCCAGCACATCGAATAACTATAAAAGTATTCTTATTGTCTCGGTACCCATAATATATATATATTTTTTTTAATTTTTTCGCCCATATCTATTTACATGTAACCAGTAATTAGAAGAAAATATTTACATAGTAGGGCTAGGAACCTTCTAGAAACCATAGGGCTTTTGTTTAAGGTCCCTAGATTACAATTAACTAATTATATACCAAAAATTGTCAGTTCGATTATCTATTCTAAATAAGAAGATAGCAATATTAACTAAGATCTAAATATAATAAACAAGCTATTCCAATTGTATTGTGTGATATGAGCGAAAAATATTAGCGATTATATGTCTTTCAAGCCTCGGCAGGTTTAGTAAAACTTTTACTAAACCTGCCTCGGCTTTCGGGGACATTTAATCGCTAATCGACCTCAAAGCCATGCTATTACTTATAATAACTATAGTCAATATATGACAGTTTGAAATACAACAGTCTGATTTTGCATCACGCACATGGTTTTTGAAAAAACTGAGGTATTTTATTACTAGATGTAAAAGAGAGAGAATTGATGCAGGATAACACAAAACACCAAGAAGTCCATTTCACGGGCTTGGAGGATCCTGGTACAGAAATGTGGGTCCCCCCAGATTCTGATTCAGAAAGTGTAAAAATTGAAAGTCTTAGTCCAGAATTTGAAGAAGACATGAATGATTGTAATCCGGATGATACTTATAGTTTTAGTGTTTTGGAATTTGAAGACACTACGCTTGAAGGTTTGTGAAGTAGCTATTTACATAATTATGTAGATATATGATATCAAATGCTATGCGCAATGTTTACAAAAGATTTGCATAAAATATCCTTAGAAAATGGTACTGAGAGACCAAGGAAAAAATTGAAAAGATCAGCAAATTTAAAGTAAGTGGTAAAAAGTTTTAAATTTTTAATTTTTTAATTGAAAGAAGACTACAAAAGCTACTAATAAGGGTAGGAAATTGTAAGGCAATTTATGATAAGGTATTGCATTTTAATCGCCACTTATATGTAGCATTTGCAAGAGAAATCAAAAGGGAAAGACGAGACAAAAAGAAAAGCAAAGGATAGGGATAGAAAAATAACAAATAATATTAATGTATATTAATTCTAGTTATTTATACTGACATATTATTTATACAACTGATTTGAACAATATGCCATTAGCAGACATTGTTACATGCATGTTGTAGTGTTGTATGGTATATAAAAAGAAACAAATTCCGAAGAAGAAAGCTATCTTGAATTCAAGATATGAATTAAAACAAGAAAGGCGAAGTAAGTGTAAATTTTCAACTTTATAGACACTTCCCTAATTTGTTCTCGGTCAATGAAAACCAGTCCACTAAAAATAGATTACATTGTCCAACCCGCCTCGTTTCCAAGCTATTGTTTTGTGTACACTCAAGCAAATCTGGGAAGTGTCTATTATATTACAAAGTCTTCTTCAGACACAATGAAATATAATTTACATATACTTTACATCCAAGATATGTACACAAAATAAATAAAGAAGATAATAATATGATAATATTATTAAGTAATAAACAATTATAAATGGTTTCCGTGTTTGGTTGGCCTGCATGATCCATACACGCGCGAATGTTGTGAGAGTGAGGAAAAGCGCGCGAAACATGACCCGAAGGCGAGTGATTTTGCGAGCTTTTCTTAACTCAAGCAACATTCCCAAGTGCTGGGAGTCATTAAGTAATTGTTTTTAAAAATAATTACAACAAGGTAGTGCTCCAAGTTTGATTTCTATAACTGGCATAAGCGAAATAAATTTCCGTGTTTGGATAGCCTGATCCAAACACTGGTTTCCACCAATCAGAACACACGTCACAATTTTATACTTATTATCTTCTCACGAAAAAAATCACTCATTTCACACTAGGTTTTACTTATATTATTTCCAACGAACGCGCGATGAATTCCGCACACGTTATTCTATATCGACTTTGTTTGGAGAATTGAGACTTCCTATGACGTTAATTAGCCTAGGCATGGCTTTTGAACCTGTAATCTTGATGTTAAAGTGTATTGACTTTTATTTGCATTCCTGGTCTTGTATGTATGTATGTATGTAAAACTTTATTTAAAGACACTAGCCCCGACAACAATAAGTTGATTTCCACGGGGGGTGTCTACAAGATTAAAAATTACAAAAATGTAGGAAAATATATAATGACTATGTACAAGTTAGTGTGACCCCGGATATTATAGTTAGGATATATTGGTTACGTTGGAGTTACGTTTCAGCTGGCTTTTGAATGCATGAATGGACTCAGCCAGTCTGGTGTTGATAGGGAGACTATTCCATAACTTAGCTCCACTATATTTAAAGCTCTTTTTTAAAAATTCTCTTTTTGGCTTAGGAAGAGCCAGATCTGTATGACTATTTCTAAGTTCATAGTTAGTTTGCATTTGATTGCGTCTAATCAAGGTTTCTTTCAACGTGGGGCCTACGTAGTTGTTCAAGACTTTGTACATTAGTATTGATTTAGTACGTCGTCTTGTCTCTAAGTTGTCCCAATCAAGAGATCGAAGAACATCAAGCAGATCTATGTCGTAACTCGCACCGGTTATGATTCGGGCTGCACGGTTTTGAAATTTTTGGAGTTTATCTCTTAAGTTTTGATCACAGACACCCCAAATAGGAGAACAATAATCAAAGTACGGCTGAATCAGAGCCGATAAATTGTTTGGAGAGAGGTTTTGGTGCGATTGGTTTAATACGTCTCAATGTGCCCAAACCTGCACCAACTTTTTTGCAAATCGCCTGAATATGTGGACTCCAGGTAAGATTTTCGTCTAGTTCGAGCCCCAAACATGTAAATGAGTGAACTCTGGAGATCCGTTGGTTATTCAATGTCAGTGAAATATCAGAGGTATATTGACCTAATACGATGTTTGGAGCCGACAACATTATTTTAGTCTTAGTTGGATGGTGTTGTAGTTTATTTCTAGAAAGCCATTCGCCAATTCTATTCAAATCATGATTAAGGTTTTCGGTTAATTCAGACAAACTGTTAGAACTGCAACAAATTTGGGTATCATCGGCATATAGATGAGGAGTAGTTTTTTGAAGGCAATCGGGTAAATCATTAATGTAAAGTAAAAATAACAGGGGACCTAAGATAGATCCCTGCGGCACCCCAGAAACAGTCCTTTTTGACGATGACATTATATTATTGACAATGCAGACTTGTTCCCTAGCAGTTAAGTAAGAATCAACACCATCTCAACTCAAGTGCCCGATATTCCAAATTGGTCTTTTAATTTATGAAGTAAAATATTATGATCAAGTGAATCAAAGGCTTTACGAATATCTAGAAAAACGATGCCACTCACTAGACCATTGTCCATATTTTCGTAGAGAGCATCGCACATCTGAGTCAGGGCAGTAAGAGTTGAGTGTTTAGGCCGGAAACCATGTTGATATTTTGAGAGGAGCGAATTGTCATTAAGAAATTTGTAGATTTGATTAAAAACACATCTCTCAAGTATTTTACAGACGATAGGTAGGATTGATATAGGGCGATAGTTTTCGCGCTTTAACCTATCATCAGATTTGTAAATAGGAGTAACCCAGGCTTTTTTCCACTCATCAACATATTGACCTTTTCAATAGAAAGATTAAATATCCTGGTTAATGACGGGCCAACAATATCCGCAGAAATTTTTAAAGCTTTGGCAGGGATGTTGTCTAATCCTGTGGATTTTGAGATTTTGAGACTTCGCAATTGATGTATTACTTCCTCCTCATTAATTTCAGAAAAATTGAAAGGAAGATGTGAGTCAAAAGTAGGGTTAGGCCTAAGGTCTTCACGACCGTGAGAATTTGTGTTTGGGGAATTGTCTTCGGGTTTATCTGCACGTTTTACCCCGATATTGACAAAAAAATCATTAAACGCCTCAGATTTCAATTTGTCGTCTGAGATGACAGAATTGTCTATTTTAAGTTGGGATATAGTGTTTGATTTGATATTTTTACCGATCAGGTGGTTGATTAAATTCCAACTTTGCTTAGTGTTTTTAGACTGAGCGCATGCACTCTTCGATTTTGCTGCAGAAATAGTCTCTTTGGCTTAGGAACACCTTTTGCTGGTGTTTATATAAGCATCATGCAGACTGATTACCAAAAATTTTAGTCATGGTATCTAAGCGTGGTATTGTTATTCAAACTCGAAACAAAAATTAAGAATTTTAAAATTCCTCCTTTGGTAACTTTGGTCCGGTGGACGAAGAGATGGAAAACACCAAAATACCTCTCAAGATTCATCATAGACATCGATACCACTTAATAAGTGAAAAAAAAAGAAGAGTCCCGATAATTATTATAAGAAAGGTGATGCAGCTGATCTGAGATCATGACGTCAAAAGCGTCTCGACAAAACTGAGTTATCATGTGCCTGGTGTTATTTGTCCCTATTCTTCCATCTAATAGTATAAAGGGTGAAAAATTTAAATTCTAATTTACAGTTGGTAAAAAATAAATGTGTTTTCACATAAATAATTTCATCGCTTCCTTTCATTAGCTTCATATCTAAAAGATACCTTGTCATGACGAGCTCTGTTTTCTTCGTTCTAGATCTCAAACAAAAACAACTCAGACACAGAGTTGGAATAATTTTGGCAATGTGCGTAATTGTTTAACGCACATGCCGATTTCTTAATTTTTACTTAACAACAAATTAATTATTAATCAACAAACAATAAATTCAATTACTAAGAAATTCGCACAGAAAAGGTGGGGCTAATTTAAACGCCCTACCGAACATACTAATATACCTTTACATTAAGCTCGCGTGAGAAAACGGGGAGGAGGGCGAGTTCAAATTCGATCTGTAATGAACTTGTCGAAGTGAGGAGCAGAATAAATTGGCAGCACATTCTGCTCTTTATCTATACTGACCCTCATCTCCGCTCTCCCACGCGTTACCTATATGTCATCAGAATTCCAGGGAAATTACCTGCGCGTCAAACTAAAGTATTTAATCTACTTTAAGTCTCAAGTGCAGGAAGCAATAAATTCTTTATTGGTATGCCAATAATTCCTTTTTTTCATAATAAAATTACATGGTATTTTCGAGTATTGAAGTCATATGCAATGAAGGAAGTAATAAATCAGTTTTATCGAGGATCTGGCTTTTGAATGGCTGATTTTTATACCCAGATCAGCTGGATTACACAAGAATTCTTCCCAAAAAGGTCAAATACAAAAACAACCGAAGACAATGTCGTGAGGAATAATCTCTTTGCGAGATCCACAATGGATGATGATGAGATTTTAAATCTCTCAATTCGCGAGAAATACGATTTTAGACCTTCTTTTCTCAGTGCCGCATTTCGCCAAAAAAGTTGAATTCAAAGTTGAGTTAAACATGACTAAAAGCGACGATAATTTCTTAAGTGTTAGTGAAAAAAAACCTTGTTTCAGAGTTTGCCATAACCCCAAACATCATTCCTGGCAGATATCAAACGTAACTGGTAAACCCAAGAAGGAAACATGACCTGGCTATTCTAATTTGTTTCATGAATCGTGATATTGTTTCCATATTTTTTGCAGTACGTTGAACGTTCGTCGACGCGCTCCTTAGTATGGCGCGCGGAATTAGAATCGTTTTAAGACGATTCACGGAGAGATTTAAATTTCACAAGCATCTGCGCAACACGTTGTTGAAGCTCGCTAAGATATATAGCATACTATCCATCCGTATTTTCTGACGCGATCAAGGCTAAAGTTACTCTTCCCTCCTCTAGTTGTGCGATGATTTCCTCGTCAACAAGACCACTTTCATCCATTGTTTGCAAATTTCTAATGTTAATAAAAACAGTTGCTAGGTTATCGAAAAAATTTTGTTAGAGCAACAATGTTTTTCTCGTTTCTTTCAGTTCTATATTCATCATGCCGATTAGGTAACATCGTGTTAGTAAAATAACACGATGTTTTAGGCGAAAATTCAGCATTGCATAGTGCGGCTTAAAAAGCGGATGGATTTTTATAGAACATTCGAGTTTATAGACAATATATCTGAAATTTAGAACCATTAAATGAACTTATTAACGGTGATGATATAGGAGCTAGTACAGGAAATATAAATAAGTTTTAGAAAGCATATTTGAAGTTCAGGCGTTAAATGACGTTTACAATGAGAAATCTTGTTTAGAAGGATTTTGTGTAGTTTAGAACGCCGCGTAGTTGCGAGTATAAGACAAATATTTGAAGTTTAGAATATTGACGGTTCTGCGCTCCATATACCTGCCTTCATGCACCTGGCCAGCAATGACCCTCATTATGGAATATAATGAACAGTATAAGAGTTTTTGAGTGTAAAAGTTGGCGAAAGGACCATTATACGGTTTTGCTTTGAAATCGGCATCATTAAAAGGTCGAAAATGATTCTTACACTGAGGGTTTATACTTAAAGGAAAATGGCAATATATTTTTTTTCTTGCTCATCTGAAAGAGGACTTACAGAGATGTTTTAAAAATGTCAATTGCCTTCATCAGTTTTGAACGTTCATGAGTAAATGCAGATGTAATTTTCGGTACTTCGAATGTTTGCCCGCCATTTTGAATCATATTTGAACAAAATTATAATTCTTTCGTAATGTCCATGTGACGTCACAACCTGGGTTGTGTTGCTGCTATAGTTTCTTCAACAATGGCAACTGCGAAAGGCAACGAAGAAGATGAATGTAAAGTTATTAATAATGAACAAATACAACCCTATTTGTTTGAGCCAACTGTTAAGGAGGATCAAGAAGAAGCCAGTGATAACTCATCTGACGACTCAGCTTCGATTGAGGATAATTTCGACGAAGAATTTGAAACAGCAAATAGATGGCGTCTGTCTTCCCTTCAGTGGTGTAAATGTGGCAATTGTACACTCATGGAAAAAACAATTGAAAGTTTCTGTTGCCACGAGAAGGCTGTAGAATACGATGAATACGATGGTATTCTAACTGATGCACAGAATCGAGGGTTAAACTGTATCACAAGTTTGTCATCGTTCATTCAAAATATGCTTTCGAAGGAAGTTCTTGACGTTGACGTATCACAATATCTGGAGGAGAATTGGCCGGTTGACGATGATGAGTTAGAACAAACACACAAAATATTTCGTCATGCGGCGTATAGAAGATGCTCACGATGGGTATTCACAATTTTGGGTAGGAAAAATCGTAGAGTTTTCCCTTCATGTGTGTATACTTGTATTAGAAATACTTTTGCGTCACCAAGTGGTTTGTACACTCATTTTAAATTTGCGAAATAACGAAAACCCATTTCATCGAATTATTCTGTATTTTTCATAATACTATTTGATCAGAAACAGCACTGAACATATAAAATATATCTATTTGTTTGAACACTTCTGTACCTTACATTTACATTCGTGTGTACAGCTCTTGTCAACTAATTTACATGGGCATCTAACCGTAGCACATTTGCCTGAGCATTTACATGTGGTTCCATCGTCAGCAATTGGATAGGCTGGTTTTGTGAATCTGCTGTATTTCCTTGAAACAACTGTTTCTTTGCATTCTGGTTGTTTGCCATCAAGATAATTTTGAACTAGTGATTTTGGCTCTTCAGGCAGGATCTTTTTTGCATGCTCACATGCTTTCTTTAGTGTTGGATAGTTCATCCTCAGCTTGAGAGTTTCCTGCTGGATTGCTTGTATATATTCTAAATTTTAAAATTGGATTGTATACAGTGTTACAAAAAAACCTAACAAATAAGAATAATGCATCTTAATTAACCCATGCATCAAGGGCCATGACATGCACTTTACATGCTAAAGCCTAAAGGTGCATGACTACATGTTTTAAAATGTTTCCTAATGCCAATTAATGTAAATATCATCCATTAAGTCATATAGCTGTCAGGTAAATAATTAACATATTCTTAAAACTAACTGTGTGTTGTATCTTCTTTAATTTTTCGAGCAATTGCTTTTTCACCCATATGTGCCTTAGGATATATGACAACCCATCGGGGGGCTCCTTCTTTTGTCTCTGCTTGTTTCCGTTGTGAATTTTCATTAAAATGTAGGTTTGAGCAAAATATCCTATACAACAAATGGAATATTTATTTTCTTGTCAGGTGCATAGAGAGTTATATAGAAAAGCATTTGAAAATACAAAAAACAAAAAACATATTGAACCATACAGTATGTAGACTACTCTTCATTTAATGTTATAAACACCCTTACTTTATGACAAAGGGCTGGCTGCCTGCCTCTTTGAAATGTCAAAGTTATGTGATTGTATATCAGTAGTTTGTACTTAGTAACAGGGACTAAGTTAGATTTATACCTCAGACTGTTATTATCCCCTAGTATAATCATCATAATAATTGTCAGAAAATCTCAAACCTTGCCATCAATGAATGGTATGGGTAGTAGGTATTCTTGGATGCAAATTGGTTGTCAAGAGCATGCTTTGCTTCTAGGGATGAGGTTTGATGAGAGCCTGACAGCTTTCGAATTGCAGATAATAATCTTGGTCTTGTTAAGATTTCTTTAAGCTTCTTATAAGCTGCTGAACCTGAAAAAATGAATAGGAACATTATAACATACTTTAAAGCTTATTTCTGTAAATGCATTTTACAATTTCACTTGTAGCAACCATTCTACCTGGTTTCAACCAAGCTCGATCCACTTCCTCATGTGTGCATTTTTTAAAAATCTTGTTTTCTTCATGCACATGAATATCCACTATGTGATTCAACAAGCTTAACCACTTTTCCACTCTCTCATCTTCATTTGCAGTTGACAAAGCCACCCAGTATATATGATTTATAATAGACTAGGAAAAGTGTATTAAAGATGCTTTTTTATTTCAATAGCTACAACTGCAACTTTAGTTATTCAATAACTGCAACCTTGTGTTATAATGTAACAAAAATGTCTTATAGTTACCCCAATCCAGGGTTTAATGGCTTTAAATTTTTTTGTCTTCACAGCTTTGAGCAACTTTTTCTTTTCACCTATGAAATACAGTTTGTAATTAAAGTTAGAATCTTCACTTGTGTAATTTATAATATATATCACTACGTGTCACTTCGCAAACTTTGCCCCATGAAAATGGCAGAAGAGGTTGTAAATCATTCCCCAAGTAATAAGTGACTAATTTGAAAGAAACAAACCTTTAGCTAAATGCCAGACGTCGTAATTGTGTTCAATATCTGGCTTTTCTTCCGCCATGTAGGACGCTACTTGGCCATGCCTGTCTGTCACCACTTTCTTCACAACCACATTTGCTTCTTCGAGGTAAAGAAGTTGCCTTTTTAGAGATTCTAATTCCATTCCATTAGAGTTTTTTACTTCTGTGCTCTATAATATACAATTATTAAATATATATATCGGAATAAGTCTGCCTTAAACGGGATGACGGGCATTTTCAACGAAAAGGCCCATTAGGATTTATAAAAGAGGTGCTATATTACAACAGGAACAACCGTAATAGACGCAGCAATGTTAAAAACGAACAATGTTAATGGGTCTTTTTATCAAGAATGTAGTACCTTAATTATTTGAGTATCGAGAATGACATTTCTATTTGAATCAAGACTGCTTCCAGCTCCAAGGAGCCCACTGTGTCCAGGGCTATCCACTCTCATATCCGACGCAATTTCAATCGATTTTCCATCAATCTCGGACAACAGTTTCCGTTGCTCTGTTCTCCAAACACTGACTACAGCCGGTATAACATAGGCACCTTGGACATTTGAAAACTCGCGTCTCTTAAAACACAAAATCTTTAGCGATTCCATGAATCTCAACGTCTTGTTGCACTCCATGCCTGTGCTCAATATTGTTGACGCCATAAGTAAATTCATCGCTGGCAATCGATTCAGAAGAGGGCCTGTTGACCAGGTTATTTCATGGTTTGCTGATGAACAGCATGATATGTAGATAGTGCAATAACTTCCAATTGTGTTCCCAACAGAAACAGTGCAACGACTTCCGCATTTAAAGCAAACACTGAACATAGTCGCAATTGATTCCTCGCATATAATCAGTTTTAGCTGATCTTGAATGGGTTTGTCACTTGTAAGAATGACCGAATCGCATGTCTTTGTATCTTCGATATGTTCTTCATCAGATTCGCTTTCTTCGCCAGATGTGGGTAAAAACTCTTCGTCACAACTATCGTCGCCTGCATCATTTTCGTCGTGGTCATCTTTAACGTGGTCTGAATTTTCAATATTATTCTTGTCCAAATCCACAGTCACAGCCAATTTCTTATCGTTCAAGCTATGTCCATCGTCTTCCACTTTCCTGATTTCTTCACTTACAATTGCATTACTACTGTCACATTCTATTGGATCCGTTTGTGAGGATGTTGAAGCTTTCTTGAGCGACTCGAGTCTTGTAAAAAATTCATTGCTGACGAAGGTTTGTGTTCCTTTTGTCACGCATGTTAATTTTGTTCCTTCAAGCTTCCTACTTGTCTGGGTACCCGCATTTTTACCAACGTATTCTAGACGGATAGTTTGAACAGATACTGACGAGTGTTTTTTTAACTCCCTCGCCTCTGGTTGGCATGTCTCACTGGCACTGGCGCTAACACTGCTTTCAAGTATGGTTCCTTCTGATTCACCCTCGTCTGCTTTTCCCGCAAAACTTTCAGCATGAGCGATCAACTCATCTACCTCCTTGAAAAAAGAAACAAACAAATTAATATTAGTTCAAAGAAAATAATAAAAGAGAACAGGTTTAATAAGATTTTCTAAATTACCTTTCTTCTTGAAAGGATACCTGTCGACCTCTTCTTTTTTGCTGATGCCTCTTCTTTATTGGTGTCAGAATCAAGTGCTTTTCTTATAGTTGGCACAGCGTCGGGTTTGAGAATTAACTTACGTTTTCCAAAAAAATTTATCGACTTTAAAAAATCGGGAGAATGTGATGGAACATAGGAGTCAGTAGCGAAGTGTAAGGAACACATGCAAGTGCATTTCGATGGACGGAAGTTTTTTCGCTTGCAAAAGTCGATCCAGATATTTCGCCTTCTCTGCTCTTCTTTATTTGACGCTTTCGGAAATGAAAAATAATGTATATTGTTTTCTTTGTTCTTTTTGTAATCGCTTGTGCAACCGTAAACCGGGCAATACATTCTGGCGCAGTAAAAGTAAATAGAAATTTATATTTCGCGCCAAGATGTTTAGATCAACCCAGGTTATGACGTCACACATGTTAAGCGTGCATAAATTAGCATAGAGAAATATAAATCAAGATGGCGGACGAAAGAGAACACTCGGGTATAAACAAACGCTCGTTTCTTTTGACAAAGCTTCTTTATCGACATAATACTAATCACGCTTGATTATTTAAAAGGTAAACTTTAATATTATGCAGAAAAAAAATATATTGCCATTTTCCTTTAACGTTTTAAATGATCTCATTTATATGTACCTTAATCAGCCGCAAACGCGACCGCTCAAAGAAGTCCATTCATGTGGCCTTGGCCGTTTTCTGTATGCAGTATTATCTGATATTTTAATATTCTGATGTTCTGAAGCGAATTTTAGTTTAATTAGTGCTGCCGCTCGGAAGAATATCGAAGACAATAAAGGGTCTTTACATAATTAATAAGTTTTTAAATTTTATTTCTTTTTAATTGTTAATACAGCAATTGCAACACTAATAGCTATTTAAAAGATTTTAAATATCTCATGATAATTTTTTTCATATATATACAATATTTGATATCCTGAAATATACAGGGTGAGTTAAAAAAACTGACATTTTTGAAATTCAAATGGGTATAGGAAGCATATCAAATAAGTGAATCATTAATTAACCTAAAACATAAAATTTGTTCCCTTTGGAAAATGCATTGTAAGCTTTGTAAATAAAAAAGAACAGTTTTATCAAATTCTAGCACATGCGATGTGTTGAATTATTTCAATTGGTTTAAACACTTTCCGGCGCATTAGTTAACCACGTTCTGTTGATTGTACACGTGGGAATTGTCAAATTCTAGCCATAAGTTCGCCGCTAATTTGACTTTCAAAGATGTTAGGTTTTTTTGACTCACCCGGTATAAATACATTTTTTCTTCCAATTCCTTGAGAGGAAAAAAACAGTACTTCGACGTCATGCATATAATTTATCACTATGGCATTTAACAGCCCTTTACTCATAGCAATTACGCTCATATTGATGTTTGATCAGTAGCGCGGACCTGTTGTTCGTTAAATGTATTTTATACCAATATTTTTTTATGGAAATAACCTAATATTGATATATGCAGTCAATATGATTTGTCGCAAGGTTGTCTATCCAGTTCCACCTTCAGGTTGTCGCTTGAGTAAATTCCTGATAAATTTTAGACCTTCTTTTCTCAGTGCCGCGTTTCGCCAAAAAAATATCAGAGAATTCAACGTTGAGTTTAACATCAATAAAAGCAACGACAATTTCCTCTGCGTTATTAGAGAAAAACTTGGTTCAGAGTTTGCCATAACCCCAAACATGATGATTCCAGGCAGGCAACAAACGTAGCTCGTAAACACAACAAGGAAACATGACTTGGCTATTCTAATTTGTTTCATAAATCGTGCTTTTGTTTCCATATTTTTCGTCTGTGATGCGTTGTCAGACTCGGAGGTAGGACCAGGAAATCGTTTCTTCTTAATAACTGTCCAGAAAATTCTCGATTGAACATATGCAGTCACAAAAAGAAAAATAAACAAGTTAACGGCGTAAGTCAACTTATTTATCCCATCACCAAAGCAGAAAATGCCGCCGAGATATGTCAAGGTTTCCAAAGAAGAAACAGAAATAAAGTATTTCAAAAGTCTTCCTTTCGTAACTTTGGTGCGGTGGATGAATGGATGGAGAACACCAAAATACCTTTCAAGATTCATCATAGACATTGCTGTTATTGAATACGTGAACAAAAGAGTCCCGATACTTCTTGTAAGGAACATGGTTATACAAGATTTCTTTTCGGAAATGTGAAATACGAAAACCACAGAAGATAATGTCATGAAGAATAATCCGTTTGCAAGGTCCACCATGGATTGAATCATGATCAAAAAGTTGGATTTTATTTCTCTCAATTTAAGAGACGTCAAAATTGTTGCAACCGTAATGCCATTGAAAAATAGGGTTGTCAATATTAAACTGATATTTGTCACAAGTGCAAAAACGTACAGAATTAGGCTCTTAGTGCCAGGAATTTTAACAACTGCATGAATTTGTGCGTCAAAGATATGACATGTTTCGATAAATATGCGTTCAGCAGTTGAGTTCATTCTGTTTGCCCTCGTTGAATGTTTGTTGAGGCGCTCCTTAGCGCATGGCTTTGTAACGTCTGACTGCAGCCAGATCCTACCTTCATGTACCTGACCAACAATGGCTCTCAATATGGAGTATACTGAACAATATGAGAGTTTTTGAATGTAAAAGTGGAGAAAATGACCATTATAAGGTTTTGCTTTGAAAGCGGCATCATTAAAAGGCCGAAAATTACTCGTGAACCGAGATTTTATACTCAACATTTTAATGATCTCATCTATATGTACATTAATCAGCCACAAATTAAGGGCCCGCTGATCCGGAACCGAATGAGTTTTGAAAACCGTGCTCGAATGTGTCGGATTTAGAACAACTTTGAACTCCGCTATGTTTTGTCACAACGACACCGCGGAAATTGGTAAAATTGAAAACTTCTTAGCCGCAATCCTCAATACTTAGGCTTCAAACTTGGTGAGAAAAAAGATTTATACATACTACACAAAATAAGTCTTCCACAAAAGATTTAAAGCTTGCACACGGCAAAAATAAATCGTCTGAATTAATAACCTTCTGTATACTTTAAGCCTCAAAATGGCCATTTCACAGCTGTCAGATTTGTATAATGAGCCGTCAAAAGATTGCATAATGCGTATTTAGAAGAAAAACCGAACTTTTTAAAGTTGTTTAATAGTTTTTTCTTTGATAGCGATGCAGCAATGCACAATGTGAACCAGTGATCAAATTTCGGGTTTAAACTTCATAAACACCAATTTCTGCAGCGTTTGTCAGAATTTTTCGGCTTGCTGAAAAAATGAAATGTCTAATCCCCGATGGGGCGCGGAGCGCCTTCGACGGTACTAATTCCGCTCGGAGATTAGGAATTACACCCGGAATCCGGGAGAACATAGCTGAATCCAAAATGTCATTGACAGTGGACGGGCAACGTTCGATCGTTTATGCGCATGGGTGATTAACTACTCGTAATCAACACCGTTCGTTATGATTGGCTAAGACAGAGAGTTTGTATTCCAATGAGAACGTCCGCAATTTAACTGTTATTTCACAAACTCTTTTGAAATTAAAAAGCGTTTCATAAACTTTGTGCAAAATAAAAGCAGAAGAAAAAAGTTAGAGGATGATAAATAACTAAGAAGAACATGGATACAGTTCAAACAAAGAAAAGTAATGCATAATCTGCAAGCGTATAAGTGTTTTAAAAGGGCACGCGTGTTCACTTTTTTATTCTGTATTTGCTTCGCGGTAAGGATGCAGTTCGTTTGTATAATTCTCAGCTTGGTATGCCGTTTTGCAAAGGCATAAACCAACTGTGAAAGGCTATTAAGATGGTCTAATTGTTAACTAATTAAGAACTAATCGTGAAAGGCAACCTTTACTTTAAATTGAAAAAATGTTTCTGAAAGCGGAATTTGAATTTTGATATGACAAATGTCTCCACACATGCACTATAAAACCTTTTGGGTCGACTACAATAACACAATAAAATAATATTTTTGCGTTTTTTTCTTTGTCCCTGAAAATTGTGAACTGTTTTAATGGTTTGAAGCTTCAATTTTAAACCATTACTTAATTGCTGCCACGGCAAAATGCAGCAATCGATGGAACAACATTTAGGTTCGCAAGGCATGTAAATTAAATGAGTATGAACTTAAACTGTATTGCTTATTTTCATTGTATATGTTTTATACTGAAGACTGGCACGTGCACGGAACGCCGGAAGTGACGCCAGAACAGGCGTCTTTTATGTATTATATTATACCTCAAATAGGTTTGATAGTTTAAAGGTTGAAGAAAATCAAATGTATTTGCATCCAGAATGATGAAGATATATTAACTTTAAATAAGGTTTTAAATTTTATTTATTTTCAATTGTTAATACAGCAATGGCAACACTTATAGCTATTTAAAATATTTCAAATATCTCATGATAATTTTTCTACTGTTTTAATACATACACTATATTTGATATCCTGAAATAGATATAAATACATTTTTTCTTGCAATTCCTTCAGAGGAAAAAATCATTGTTTCCTATGTCTTGCATATAATTTATCATTATGGAATTTTACCGCCCTTTTCTCATAATAATATTGAAGTTTGATAAGCAATGCGGACCTGCTGTTCGTTAAATGTATTTTATACTAATATTTTTTGATGGAAATAACTTAATATTCATATTTAAACCTTTTTATGAAGGTATTTATATAGTTAATATTTATCGCAAGGTTGTCTATCCTGTTCTACCTTCAGGTTGTCGCTTGAGTAAATTCCTAATAAATTTTAGACCTTCTTTTCTCAGTGCCGCGTTTCGCCAAAAAAATATCAGAGAATTCAAAGTTGAGTTTAACATTAATAAAAGCGACGATAATTTCTTAAGCGTTGTTACAGAAAAACTTGGTTTCGAGTTTGCTATACCACCAAACAAGATAATTCCAGGCAGGCAACAAACGTAACTCGTAAACACAACAAGGAAACATGACTTGGCTATTCTAATTTGTTTCATAAACCGTGCTTTTGTTCCCATATTTTTCGTCTCTGCGGCGTTGTCAGACTCAGAGATAGAACCAGGCAATCGTTTCTTCTTAATAACTGTCCAGAAAATTCTCGATTGAACATAAGCAGTCACAAAAAGAAAAATAAACAAGTTAACAGCGTAAGTCAACTTATTTATCTTTTCACCAAAGAGGAAAATGCCGCCGTGATATATCAATGTTTCCAAACAGGAAACAGAAATGAAGAATTTTAAAATTCTTTCTTTGGTAACTCTGGTACGGTGGATGAAGGGATGCAGAACACCAAAATACCTTTCAAGATTCATCATAGACATCGCCACCATTGAATACGTGAACAGGAGAGTCCCGATAGTTCTTGCAAGGAACATGGTTACACAAGAATTCTTTCCGGAAATGTCAAATACGAAAACCACAGAAGATAATGTCATGCAGAATAATCCGTTTGCGAGGTCCACCATGGATTGAATCATGATCAGAAAGTTGGATTTTATTTCTCTCAATTTACGAGACGTCCAAATTGTTGCAACCGTAATGCCATTGAAAAATAGTGTTGTCAATATTAAACTGACATTTATCACAAGTGC